CCCCTCCCCCTTTTCTGACCGTTTTTTTTTCTTTCTTTCTTTTTTACATCTCTGCTCCACAGGAAACCTGACGTCAGTAGCTCAGAACAAAACAGAGACAGACCCGTCCTGAGTCGTGTCCCACAACCGGACATCATACTTGAATATTCAATTGATGCCACCCCCTCCTCCCAAATCTCCTACCCCTTTTCTTTCCTATCACAGAGGTCCCAAAACCCCACCCTCCTTCTTTCTCATCCCTGAGGTCCTGACACCCACCCCCCCTCTCCCACGATGATTGTACGTGTGCAGCAAGCACTCAGATGGGATCCTGGTTTTTTCCTTTGATGTCCTTTCATGTCCTATGGAGGACCTAGCTCCACTCTGATGTCTGGCTAATATCCTGTGATGTCCTGGTCATTGCAGGATGATGCCCTGGTGTTATTGTTATGCACCACGACGACCCCCACCTGGACCATAATGTCCACATGATGTCCTTATAATATTCACATAATGCACCGACGAAACCCTCTTTATGTCCCCATTATGCATTCAGAATGTCCCCCTTATGCCGCCATGATGCCTCCAAAATGTCCCCACGATGCCTCCATTATTCCCACATGATGTACATGTACCCATAGTTTCCTCACATTGTCCCATTTTGCCCCAACAATATCCCCAAGATGTCCCCTGCCTGATGTTACGAATGGCTAACGTTTTAACAAAGACACTCCAGTATCAATAGGCGCCCTTATATATAGACGGAGAGTTCTTCTAAGTGCATGTCACGAAATTACATAATTACAAGTATAATTTTTTTCCTGTTGTCTCCTTCTATTTCAAAGACAATACATTATTAATCAACAGTGTGTACATGTACAGTCATTTGTATTGGCTTTTGTCTAGATATTTTTCAAGTTATCACAATAAATGTGGTTCGTGACAATTTGTTGTACTCCAACAGCAAATATGGGTCATTGAGCTGGAATCAGACGCTCGTCAAATTATAAGGAACTGAGAAATCAGTATTTTTTATGACTGTTGTAAGATTGTTATTGTAAATGATTTGCTCAGAAATCTTCTCCACCCATTAAAGAACATATCTGAGGATGAATTTCACCAAAAAAAGTTGGTTAAAAGTAAAAAAAATGTGTACATGTACTTTCGTAGACAGAGTACGGCTGTAATGTGCCGAACAACGTAAGTAAAATATTGACTACTGAAAGGGTGAAATTTTGACACGCGAATGAGCCCTAAGTCTTCACCAAAAGTATTGCCCATTGATTGGTATCAACTGAAACCTTAAAGTCGTATCTGTCAGTCTACCCGTTCTGTTTCGGAAATTTCTTAGAAAGAAACCAAAGAAAAAGTGTTTTGTAGCATAAACAATTCTTCAACATAGACCCCCAAAAAACCTCCTGAAAAATACATTTTGATTCGCTGAGGGTTGTCACGTGACCTCGACTTAGTATCAATGTGTACAGTTATATTATGGACTTTGCTTTTGTTGAGATTATTTGTTTGTTACCACAAACTGAAGACCTGAGAATAACCCCTAGGTCAAGTCACATTTAGGTGATTTCGAGAAAGTGAGCAAATACCTCATTCGTGAAATAAATACAATTAAGTTCCAATTTGAGGGCTTAAATAGACATTTTACAGGACCTGAATTGTTGTTGCATTAGTTTTTGCATCTTAAACAAGAATATCTGGGCGTAGGAACAAAATAACGCTTCTTCAGTTCATCTAATAGATAGTCCTTTGTCGCCGCTTTCGAACCATGTGCAGAACTCTATTTTTAGGAAAATGTGACCTAACTTTGTTGTTGTTCTCAGGTCTTGTAAATGAAGTACGTATTGAACTGTCTGTTGTGTTCCAGCAGCAAATACTGTACGTAATAAACAGTGCTTTGTGAACACGTGAAAGATTGTTTCCTGTTTGATGAGTTGAATCAAAGAAACTTATTTCATCAGTTTTAGTAAGAGTTTAACGGCACTTGCAACACAAATAGGTCATGTAAGTGTCAAAGGTTGGATGTATTACTAGAGAGTAACATATAAGGAAAAGCAGGAGGAGAGATGTGGACGACACAGTTTGATTGGAAGGAAGAAGTACCCGCCAACCAACCAACCACAAAACCGGAGATTGCATACATGTATTACATGATGGTTCACTTCTCTAATACACCAGCATTTGTGGTGTAGCAGTTATAAGTAGCTTTGCCGTCGCATTTAGAACTGATGGTTTCATTTCTAAAGTGGAGATGTTGTTTTTTTAAAGGGGGGGGGGGTGTTTTTGTTTTTAAATATATTATCTTTTCTCTTTTGAGCTACCTATCAATCACCTATAGCTATTATATTATCTTTTTTTTTTTCGACTATATATATCCGTCTGTCTGTCGGGATGTTGTATCCCTCACATCCTGGGTTGGCCCTGATATGCAGGATCGAAGCGATGCGCCTCTTGATTACTGTATAGTGTGTCAATGGAGGCATAAAACATCTTCAACTACAAGGTGATTTTATAAAAAATGTACAACTTGTTTTGGTAATATTTTCTTGGACTCTTAAGTTTTTCGTTTCAAAGTTGTGCACAGCATCAGGAAGTCAAAAGGAATTAGTCTGATACTCATTTGAGATAAATCCGTAAAATAGTTTTGCTCTGCATAGCGCGTAAAAAACCCCCAAACCATTTTCAGCTATGTCCCCATTTTTGTTGTATGACGCACTAGTTTGCATTAGGCCTACCACTAAAAATCCCAAAAGATTGCGCCATATTGCAAACTACAGTAGTCTAACAGGCCAACAGAAGTTTGCAGATAGTTTTTCTCAAGTTTCCTCTGCCTGCTAGTTTTTAGTATTAAACATTTCCTCACCACCAACTCATTTCGTAAGTTTCTCACAAAGTACGGAAATAATGGGAAAGTGCCCAAAGGCCTTCTTTGATGTCAAGAGTGGAAATGGTCCATCATTTAGGGCCTGTAGAGAATTGGAACTAAAACGCCCAGACAAAACGACCACTTCAGGTCAAACACACACCGTTTGCACCCCTTTAAACGTCACCAGGGTGCAGAATTCAGTGACATGAGCCCCATGAGACGATGTCTGCAGCAATGACTTTCTTACATCTCAACGGTCCGTATTCCAAGTTTAAAAATTCTAGTACAAATTGTGTGCGAAATATTTTTTAAAAAGTTGTACAGTTGTTTTTATTTGTGTATTTTTTATCACCCTGTACTTATAACATCTACAATTACGAATACAATAATTATTGTTTTATTTGAGATACAGTGTTTGAAACAGTCTGAAAAGTCTCGTTGGCTGCATAACTGGTCGCATACGTACGAGGCAGATGCTATTTTTGATCTTGTGAGAAAAGAATTTGGCAAAGATTGTTTTTACAGGACTTCTGTATGAAAAACGAAGCAGGGTGTTTTTATCAGCGTGTGTGGCGACATCTGCATATCGTAAGTTGAGCGTTATCTTGAACTAGATCTATATATAACTCCAGTTTCCATCCGACTTCTAGGAGTTTTTTGTCACTGTGGCAATGTTGTTTTAAAAAATCTGCCCTTTGAGCTCAAAATTGTTACACTTAGTGCATGTGTTTCATAGAACTTCATGTTCATTAGGTAATAACCCACGTTTTTGTGGCTTGAAATCGGTGCTTTCAACATGATTTACATCAAATCTGAAAAAACAGAGATAATAAAAAGCCTGCATATTTTAAAGTTTTTAAAAATCGATTTCTTGGTCTGTTTTTTAAGGAAAAAAAACACACAAAAATTATGTTCGTTATTCTGAGGTGGAATTGTGAAAGAGACAACTTGTGCGACTGAAACTTTGTCTGTCTCTAGCAGGGGCAGCTCGTGGGGCTAAAGAGTGGACGTGCTCAATTAGGCTATCGCAAGCTGAAGGTAGACAATGGCATAGTAAATCTGTCCCTGCGGTTTTGCAAAAAAAAAAAAATTCTGAAATTATGCAAATTGAGCCCAAAAATGTGAAATTATGCGATTCTGTTAATTTTAACGAAGAATGATAAAGGAAAATAATCAGAAATTATGCAAAAAAAAGTTTAAATTTTGCTAAACTATGCGGGGTGCATAAAACCGCGGGGAAAGGTAAATGAGATGGTGTAGGCCTAAAATTTTAGAATCTTTGGGTTGGTGAGGGAGGACTTCGTGCTTTTATTTTCATTCTTTTTACTTGTCACTTTGATTTCCACCTAATTTGTTTGTTGGCTAAACATCAATTTCGTTCATCCTGATAAAAACTGAACACTCAAGTAATAACTTTCACCAGTCCACAACAAATCCATTCAAAGGCACTACCCATAGGCAATTGCTTGGATGCAGATAGAATTTGAAAATAAAAAATTGATCATCTTTGGTAGATCTACGTTCATCTCCCTCAGATTCATGATCACAGAGTCACTTAAAATGGTTGCAAGACAAGGAACCAATTATAATTAACTTGTGCACTCTGCTCGATTGCTCCGGGGCAAACATAATTTTTGCAAAGAATAGTGTACAGTCTATCCCATTTATTTTTAGACAGCCTACTGTGGGCTATTTTTCGGCACTATTCGACAGGCCCACATTTGAGGTGTGCCGTCTTATTAAGACTAATGTACCGCCAAAATCGCTACGAGTGTCGTCATCGCTTGGGTCATCCCAAAGGGCGATTTATAGGTCAGGTTACGCTGCCGAATATCCTATTAATTGTGTTTAGGCCTAGGTTTAGGCCTATAGACACAAAACTGACAGTAGCGGTGCCAGCGAGGACCTTGTTTTGATATAATATGTGGCTAGTGTTCGTTTCAGGTTTCTTTTATTTTATTATTGTGGAAGATTTACGTAAAAGAACGTTAAAACATTTTGAGCGGCACTGCACGACCGTGTTCTATATAAACTATAAACGAACCGTGCCTGCTCAAGGCGATGTCGGCAAGGGGAGGCAATACAACATTGTCGCCGATGAGTGTCAACTTGATAAAAAGGAAGGGAGACAACATATGGATATTTTGTAGTGTAATTTTCAGAGGGCCACCTCCCTTGCTAGACCTGGCAGTCGCGGCATAGAGCATGAAAATCAATTTGTCAACTCATCGAGGATTCGCTTTCTGGTCATTTGACCACGCTAGAAGACGTACTGTTTTGGGGCTTTTTAAAAATGAAGCATAACTTCTTTTTTTGGAACATATTTTTCAATTTAATTGTCTTTATCTGGAACTTAAACAAGAGCCGCGACAAGATGCTCACTATGAATTATGTTTATCTTTGTTTCAGACATGTTTATGATGTTTCGAAATAATAATAATAATAATAATAATTTGATGGTGGTTTGTTTCTTTATACAAAATTCCCTTTCCGTTTTTGTTTCTCACGTGGGCCTTGTTTGATTGCTTTTAGATCTAATCTTTCTCGTCTATTTATTTTTTTATGTGTGAAAATGTCAACGTGAACCTATCATGATTCACCTAGCACATACCCCTGTCTGCCCAATTCCCTCTACGTCAATCATTGTATAATCATATCTCTGGTCCGATAATCGCTGTGCTCTCATAATATGAACCTTCCATTCTAACCCTCTA